AACTCTCGAGTTGAATTGAGTCAGGTCAGTTCATCTACCACTGGTTGGGAATAGAATGTCCAACCACCATGGCACTACACTGTGCTGTACTTTAGCGTACGAAACAAGATCTTATCGGCTAATACTCCCGTCTAGCAGGACAAGTGTATAATTTGATGGGCCTGGCCCCAAGAGTACTACTTGAAGTGACAACAACAAGAACGAGGACGGACGTGATAACGACATAGATTGATCACCTTCCGATTCTTTCGAGCATCTTTCAGCGTAGATTCCTTATGGAGAAGAGAGGGAGTGCAGAGAAGACACAGCCAAGAGCCACGGTGGTTTCCAGCTCACATCTCTACTTCTGGTTATAGGAGTGGTAGCTAACTAAAGTAGCGGCCGGGCTTGCTTCCCTTAGCTCACCTCCCCTTCCCTCGTATAGTATCGTGTAATTGTAATTTAGACTACGAGTAGACCAGATCGTAGTCTCCCGAGTCCTGACTGGAGGTGTGGTAGGGGGCCACATTTATCATGAGCTTGGCGAGGCTAGAAAGACCGAAAGCTTATTGGTGTGCTCGATCTCGAGCTTCCATAAAACTTGTCTCCATTCACAATCCACTGGCCCCCGGGACACTTCTTTCTCCTCTTACGCCCACCTCTTTACTCTTTTGTCAATCATGTGTGCTATTATTATAGGAGGCTCGTCTTCTCGCCAGTTCGTTGGATGCAAGAGGTTTTGAGATGAACGTAAGATGCAGGCCAGCATCTCACATGTGAGATTTACTGCGCTGTGTCTGTCTGGCTTCTCACTGGCCCCATGCATGCCAGGTTATGAACTCCACATAAACCTAAATGTAATTCATCATGACCACAATCGAGCAAGCGTGAACTTTCCGGATTTTTCCATAATTTTCCATCTGGGTTCTGGAAACAAACGCGATTATGGCGAAATGATGTGAATGAATCCCTAACAGCCTGTTAGGAATTCATTTACCTGTTAGTAACAGGCAAACCTTGTAGAAGAGAACCGCCGCAATTGACAGTGAGTGAGTGAGGGCGCAGTGATCAGTCAAGTCCAGTCTTCATTTCACTAATACACATGGTTGATGGCTCATTTCCTCAGGAGACGCATGGAACATGAACCTCGTAAGAAGGTCTAATGATCACCAAAGGAAGGATTTAGCTTAAACACTGCTCAGCTCCTGTCTGGCTCTAATGCAGATTCTCACAAATTGAAATTAATCACCGTCATAGTCACATTCCATGCTCTCCTTCTCCTGACTGAGCCCTGGCGACACGAACTCGAATCGATATCAAGATGCAATGATCAACATCTAATGCATGCCCTGTCATGTTGAAATGCAATCGGCTTTGCAGCAGAATCAATCAATCAAAAGTGGCGTTTGCATTTCTGGCGAATCACACAGTGTCGCTTATAATGATGCCCACGAATTTTTAAATCTCCGAAATTAGATCAGAGTCGTCAGATGCTTACTAACTACACTCATAAGAGGGACGCCATCATTGCCTCAAGCTTTTTGGCTTTGGATGCATGGCCTAGCGTGGCACATGAGGTTGTCGGAATGAGCCAAGATCTACCCCCATAACGGTCACGTCCTGATTCCTCAAAGTTGCCGGAATCGTGTTTTCCCAGTTGCAGTAAAGGGTGTGCCAGTCTCGGACCTAGATCGACATGATCACAAGTGAAAATGCTGCACAATTGTGTGTGCAGCCGCTTCTACGAACCTGGAACTACATTCACTGTCATCGATTTCCACCTGGCTAAGCTTAACGTTTGAGTTTCTGGGTAAGAACCTGTCAGTTCGTAGCTAGACCTTGTAAGGATCTATGTCTTCGTTAATTTTGAGTTCCCATATCTTTTTGGGTTCCTTGTGCTCCTTGTGTTCGTTATTTTCTTATTTGAAAGTGTAGCATGGCTACTTCCTCTAAGCTCTACGAGTTTCCTCGCATCGTGAGAGGGAGTCAGTGTTCCCACCGTCCAACTCGGATTGTGTTTGGGTTCAAGAGCCTGGTAGACCTTCACTTCTCAATTGCTGCTCTAGCTCTGGTGATTTTTAGTGATCCTTCCTCATACAAGCTTCGGAGAAGTAAGTCTAGTACTTATCTAGTCAAATGATTCTTGTCTAGTATTTTGCTAAAACAATCGGGTTAATTCCAACACAGAACAGTGTAAAATTCACGAATTAAATTAATTTATTTATCCAATCAATCAATAGCAGCCGCGGAAGGGGCCTAGGGTCTGATGTGAAGAGCAGCCAGCAGTACGCATCCCTTGGGGGTTTTTGGCAGCCCGTAGCTGCTTCATCATTGTGTAGCCGTCCAATGCTTACAAAGTGTGGCTCGAATCTGAGCAAAAAAGTGTGCCACGGCGTCCAAATGAGTACAGTAGGCGTTTTGGCATTTACAATATCATCAAACCGAAGAAGACAGGCAATAGAGAAGGAAAGCTCCAGCACGATCATGAACTCAGCGAACTGAATATAGGCTTTGTATTATTTGGTTCGTTAGACATCTTTTTGTTGCAAAGCACATACCTCTGAACGAGAACAAAGAGTCATGGCGAAGAAACCTGTCGTCACCAGATCCTCTTTCTAAATATCTGAGCTGATGCTTCCGAACGAGACAATACAACATCAATCTCCAGAAGCTAGACTAGTCTTCGAGAAACGTCTCTATAGGAAAGAATGATGGCATGACACCTCGAAGCAAGATTACCTTCTCATTCGTGAACCAAGTCAAGGGATCGATTCACTCACCGACTTCCTCGTACATACTTGTACACTCTGGCCTCGCGATGTAAAATGCAGAGTCAGGGTACAGCATGATGAACTTCATTTTGAAGAAAATCTCGAGGCTATGCAGACTAGGCGCCAGATCCCTTAGCTATTAGCATCATTAGCATTTGGGCTCGGGGGATCGGAGGAAAACCCGGATTATCGGAGAAGCAAAAGGTCTACTGAGGACTTCGTCGCCTCACTGCAGAAGATCCAAAGCAATGGACTTCGGATTTGTCTTCATTATGACTGGAGGGAGGGAGGGACCTTTCTGGATCTACAGTCGGCGGAGCCCTGAAGTGGGACAATGACTTGGATGCATTGCAGACTCGCACAAGGGAGCGAATGAGACACACGTTCTTGTATCGAGTCCTGATACAGTATTAGCCGTGTTTGATCCGTCGTCTTAGTCTTCTTACAGTATCAGCCTCGATGACTCTATGGGTAGGATGGGAATGTTCCCACGACTAGAGTAGGACCAGATTTTATTCCTTCCTTAGGTTGCTGATATGGCTGAATCCTCCACAGCTATCTTCAACCAGCTCCGGGCTTTCGATTTTCGTCTACCAAGCCCATCAAGCAGTCGGGTTCTGGATAACTCAAGAGTCAAGGGATGAGAAGAAAATTATTGAACTGAATCCAAGGAACGGAAATTAGTTCACCGAATCCTGTCCAGGACTGCTAAATAACCATGTGCTGACAGCTAACAGCACCTTGCTTTGATCAAAGTAAGTAATTCGGGGTCCAATCCCTGCCGTAATGCAATGCAGTGCAGTTGAGGCTGTAGAGCCTGTGGAGGCAGCACCGAGACAGAGCGAAACCAACTGTTGGTGTGTGTGTTTTTGTCTTTATCTGGGTCCCCAGCACATAAAACCCCAAGCGAGAACTCGCACTAGTGCGAGCTGTGGAGTTCCTAATGATTGGGAATTTATTTGTTAGCTGACCGACTTTCTTGTCACGGGACGAGTTTTCCTTCATCTCTATCTCCATCGGTTTCCTCTCAAACCACCCTCCTTTTACCTTTCATAATTCAGGAGCTTCCACACAAAAGCAGGACTTTGGAAACTGCCGTCACTAGCCCCTAGGGATGTTTTGTGCATACATCCATTAATGAAAGCATTGTTTTGACTGTGTCCAGGATTGAAGTGCTTCCGTTTGTCAGCTAACTTTACGAACTGCATTGGAGAGAACTGTTGGTATCCAGAGTCCTTGCATGTACACTACTACAGATGCTCTTGTCACTCTATACGCCATGGCCCGAGGCTTCCCCACTAGGCCTAAGCGTATTTATCCGTCTGTCCCATAAACAATTATGGGCAACCATACTCCATGGCAAGACTCCCTCCTTTTCGACATCTCTTACTTCCATAGAGCCTTCTGATCGATGTACGAATACAAGATTCTTACTGCAAACCTCAAGGAGGAAGAGCCAATTCAATCACTATTATTGCCAGTAGAAGCACTTTTTGTCCCTATGTTTTGAGAGTAACTCGGGCCAGATCGCGCAGCCAACTCCTCATTCGGGCTTTAGGCAGGTCATGTTCAAACGTTCTACTAGATGCGAACCATATTATGGAAAGGCTGATGAGCTTCTTGACGATCGAACCAAAGGAATTCTCGCCACTGTATCCACATTGTTCATGCTCGATGATGAAGCGGAAAGGTTGTCTTCGATGAACATCCATAAGCTGAAGAGTCTTGATCCAGAACGTGTTAGAACTTGCAGAAGGGATCATAAAGTAAGTACGTGCCAACTTTGCTTTTCGTAATTACGATGGAGCTGGGTAGTCTCGGAAAACAATTTGTGTAAGCTTTTTCTTCATCGAACTTTAATTGAATGGCTGCAAACTCCTCGTCCTCTGCTAGCGGTGTGCATTCTCCGATCATTTCAAAAGGCCTCGTGAGTCCCGAACAATGTCTCTATAAGAGTGTTCAAAGATCTTCGTGTCAGCCGAGATCTAAACGGACAGTGCGGAAAAGCGTTCCCTCTACGCTATGACGCCGTTGGCAAAAGCGAGATGTTAACTGAGATAAATTTCAGGAATTTGCGGAGTTTGTATCTGCGGCCAACATAAGAATCCGAATGCACCTTTTTGACGAACTTCAGAGGACCGGTTCACCGGATCCAACCACAGGGGACTCAGTGAGAGTGCCGAGTTCTGCAAAGGCGCTTGCTGTCAGCTGCTTGTGCTTCTATCTCTCGGAGTGAAGAGTATAGACGGTTCAGAAGCAACTCCACATTTGGAGAATCTGGAGTGACCTTTTGACTGGCCAGGGCAGCAAGAAGAAAATACCAACGTAAGCTCTCTCTACATAGCAGCAACAGTCAAAGGATTCGAGTTGATCCTTGACAAATAAGCAGGGGAAATTTCTCATTGTCAGCTGACAATCTGATACGGCACATCCACTGATAGCTGCAAACACTTCCACCTCCCGAGTTAGCTTGCACTTTACTAGATTAACCATCTTGGCATCTGATGCGAAACAATGTGTCTCTGAGTCAATCATCGCGCGTTTACTGGATCCAACAACTGTGATGTACAGTGTGAAACTCTTTATCATCATTACTTGGGACTGCAAAGCTTTCCGTTGTCAGCTCAGACTCTGACCAAAAGCTTTAGTAGAGCTGAAGTATCTCGACCCTCTTCTGTCTTGTAGAATATGATCCTCCTAGATTTGACAGCTCCAGAGATGATGCTTACAGTGAACCTAGTGTGGCTTTATCGCACACAAACGGAGAGGTATTAATTTTTATCGAATGGCTCGAGCATCGGAGATATTCACCATGATATTTCAGCTCCCTCTCCTGTAAAGACCATGCATATAAATCTCACGGACTCTTTTCCATCCGAACTTCCAACTCAAAAGGTTGCATGCAGATTTCAAAGCGTAGCCACAGCCACAGTTATGATTGAATCACCCATTGCAAGCTTTCCATTGTCAGTTTAAAGTTTGAGATGACTGATGTGATGCCGTTTTCAGAGTTCTTTGGCTACCTTGAAAGCAGTCCTGTAGGGATGAGACATAGCGTCTTGTTAATTGAGCAGCTTGTGCAAGTATCGCTTGCTCGCTCGCTTGCTCCATAACCCTCGCTGCTCCACGACTGATGTTACTGTAGTCTTTTGAAGCCTGTCTGTAGCTGGATCTTTAGCTCTTGTGTTCTACCGAGAAAGGACAGTAAGAGCGGTCAAACGTTTCACTGTCTCGAGACACCAACGCAAGGCGAATGCGTCAGTAGTTGCTGGTAAGTGTACTCTGACTGATCGTTGGTCACTGAACTAGCAGGCGGAGGATATCTTTCGCTGCGTGAGCACATGTCGAATTGTTATTCTTCACAATTCCATGCTGGACTTATCGTGGAGTGTAAAAGCGAAGAAAGATCGACAGATGACTACGCCAGTACATGATGGGCAGGATCTGTTGGACGACATTGTGATAAAACCTGAAGACCGAATTTGCGGTTCAGTTAACGCTGATTGTAGCTAGAATTTTTATGACATCATAAACTGCGTGTCTCAAAAGACTCTGGATGTCATGAGGGGGGCGGATGGATGAGACATAAAATTAACAAAGGTACTGAAAAGATGTCTAGAGAAGATTGATGTAGATCTCAGCTGGAACTTTCGCTCAATCCTAATCTGCTGTCGAATTTTCATGACCTGGTGATGAGATCATGAAGGTTCATTCTACAAACGATCTGAGAACTTGAAGCCACACCTTCTTGGCAGTGAACAAATCAGGAGAAACTGTGGACCCTCCACCCTACCAGCTGCCGCTTTCGGGTTCGCCGTTGACTGACTCATGGCAAGCCACCGTTGCAAAGTGACAAGTTCCACGCACCACCAAAAAAATAAAATAAAATAAAGACGACAAGTCAGTCGCTCTAACCAAATCGCCCAAAAGCCATGAATCCCACCCCACGTACAGTACTCTCCTTTTTGATGGGGATAAACCTCTTATTCTTTCTTACAAGACATAAAATGGGACGCACTTGGCTTCATTTGTAAGAAACTAACTGCCTCCTCAAAAAGATCGAACGAACGTCTGCAAAGCGAATCGTCCTTGCCTTTACCTCCCTTCCCTCCCTTTCCTCGCCTGGAGAAAAGGCCCCGGATCTTCCAAAATTCCAACATTCTCTCCATTCCTCGAATGCATCTGAACCGCGCTTGCTGCCTGTCGCTCGTGGAACTCGCCACCATAATCACCAAACCAACCATATATCAGTCTGAATATACGAAAATATGAAAAGCACAAAAGGCTTGCTTGCAGTGGCAACTTTCCCGATCTTACCCGATCTCACTCTGTCCTCCGTCGGCTCATGTAATCTCATCTCGGCGCAGGCCCACATGACTGAGAGGACGGAATTGCCCAACGTCCACCCGATTCATGAACATGAGGGTGCAATGTCCCAGAATGTACACGTAATTTGGTGCCGAAATATGTCAACCTTGCAGCTCAAGGTGTCCCCACGGTGGGCTCCTCGACGCGTACTTATCGCAACCGACAAGCCGGGACATCTTTCGAGCAAAAGCGCTCGAGGGAAGGGTGGGGGGGGGGGGGGGGAGAGGGACTGCGGCTCCTGCCTTGGACAACGATCCGTAGCCATCGAACGGGCGCCTTACAGTTGGAAGTTGTGCGCCGACTGTCCATTGGCCCCCTTACACGTACTCCCTGACTGAATCAAAGATCTACAGGCTTCTGAGCTGCACCCTATTGCAGTTGGCCAATCTAGAGGCTGATTCGCACCTGGCGGTTAAGCCTACGGCAGTGGCATGTTTGGACGTTTGGAGCCACCAGGTGTTCACAGCATGTGCCTGGACCGAGAATCCGGGTGGCCAGCAACTTATCGGAAAGTTTCGCTATGACGCCACGGGCCCCTTACGGGCCGGTTTCCTCCATCACCGGCTCTGGAGATTCATCATTCATAGTGCAACGCTACGTACACCTCTGCTATTCACACGTTAATTCTCGGCCAAAATCTTCATTCTTCTAGCATGAGTTTGACATCCAATTTGACACCTGTGATAGTCTCCATGTCGGATACGTTAGACCTGTTCCGTGAGACTAATACATATATCACGTAAATCTAGCCATATATGATATATGGCTAGATTTACTTGGGTACAGACGGAGATATCGTTAGTTAGACGGTCTACTGTGAAAAATGTATCCTATATTATTAATTTGTTTCCTTCAAGTAACTTGCAGTGTGTCATTCCATCCCCTCAAAGTGAAATTGTTCTCCTTAAAAACCCATGTGTGGTATAAAGTAATAATATTCAAAAGCCAACTGCAAAGAGTGTATTGTACCTAGTCCCTGGTTTCGTTCCTTCCTCTCAATTTTATTATATCCACTTGGCACCATTTTTAACAAACGTGTATTATATGATTATAAGAAGATTCATCTAGTGTGGAAAAAATTTAGCTTAAGCAGGTAAAATCATTAAAAACCGGCCTTCACATAAGTTGAAATATTGGACTGACACACTTTGATGTAAATTGGGTTAACAAAAAACAGAAATCAACATTACTTGCTGTACTGACATGATTGAGATAAAATTATTTATATCTAAAATATGAACCCTCATAGTTATTTCATTAAAATGGAAGAATAATTATCCTCCTTTTTCAATGAGATTTAAAAATTATATTCTAAAAGAATTTGGAAAAAATTATTTATTAGAACACAATCATCTAATTTGATAAAATATGCAATGGAGATTCACACCGTTCACTTTATTTTTAAATAAAAAAGGAAATGTTTTATTTTTATAAAGTAAATATCTTTCATGTTTGATCTTAGACATTTTATGGTGAATGACTTCTTTAAATAAAAAAATTATTTAACATTGAAATTAATAAACATATACATTGCATAATATTTATCTATTGAAAACTATTGAATTTAAATTTCAAAATTTTTTTCACAAATACAAAATTCAGGTCAATAATCGAATTTTTTTAATTTTTCTCATATTTATCAAAAGATTTTTATGTGTATAAAGAATTCAAATATTCTATGAGAAAGAAAAAATATTTTATTTCATAATCGTATATTTTTAAATATTCAATGTTTATGACAACTAATGAAAATTTCAAACAAAAGCCTATCTTTACATATTTATAAATAAAATTATATAAAAATAATTAAAGTTGATGTAGTTTAAATGAAGCTTCAAAAGTATTAATATATTGATTAATATTGAAAGCATGTTACTAAAATAATAAAAATATAATTTATAAAAAATATTCTAAATATTTAGAAATTTGATAAAAAAACTGAATTAATTAGTAAAAAAATTTAAAATTATATATCTAAATATAAATTTTTATGTTTTATCATTCATTACACAAACCATAATGAGTGATAAAACTTGAAACTAAGATCAAAAGCACAAAAGTACTTGCATCAATAGCAAATCGAAAAAAATAATTTACATTGTATTTTACACTATCAAAAGACATAACTAAATCAAATTTGTCTTGTTATTTATGAAGGAGTTTTTCATTCTTCTAAATGCTTCTTCTTAATTTACATAGCATGAGAGTAGAAAATTAAGTCAGCAATGAAAGAAGTTGAAAAAAAACTTGGGATATCTTGTTGAAATGTAACACCTCAACAAAAAATCTCTAATTTTTTGGTACATATATGTAGTACTTTTTGATGAAAAAATGATTTTAATCAAAAACTTTACATTTAAATTTTTCATCAAGTTTTATTCTAAGTAAAGTCAACATAGATGCAAGCACTATAAAAAACATTTTTAGAAATGTGAGTGAAGACGTTTTAACTTGTGTTGAGCAAAAAATGATTGCAATATTTCAACAAAAGCTCTTAACATATATTGATGCAACAAGAACAGTTGTAACCTTTATAAAATAATTGGAAGTAGACACATATTTTTTTAATGACACCTTCAAAAAAGATTGTCATATTAATAGCTAGTGCAGAATGAAGTAAAAGTTTGAAACTAAATTAAAAAAAACGTCAAGAGAGAAATGGATGTTTTAATCTCTTATTAGGATTTGAATTTTGAAATAAATCGATTAAATTTTTGGTTCAATCATACAAGGTTTATACAATGCTTGTTAAATGAAAAATTGAAGGAAATTAATTAAATCTAAAGCAAATGTTACTCAAGATTGAATATAGTAGATGATAGTCAAAAATCTATAGTGTCATGTCAACATTCAGTGTGCTTGTTATGTAAGTATTGAATGTGTTAGTTTGACCTACACTTCAACAATCCGTGCTCAATTGTATATTGGTCATGCACCATGCACTAGGAGTGTATTGAATGGTGAAGAGAAGACGTTATGTTCATGTATGCGTTTGAAATAATTATATAGAGTGTAGTCATTTGAGATATGTCATTTTCAGAGTTTATATCTTATCTTCAAATGAGCTTTTCCCTACACCCGATGTTACACAAATATATGAAACATTGTTATATTCGTTAAACTTGATAGTATTTGTATCTAATCCTTATATCGCGTTGCTTGTATAGTTTCCAATTATATTGATTTACTTTATATGCTTTGAATCTTGCGAGTTTCAACCAATGAATTTCAATTAGATTTTAAATTTGAAACAATAACTAACCATTTGATGAGAGATTTTTGAAATTTTTTATTTGTCTAAATCAAGCTTAAATTTGAAATTGATATAACCATACAAAGTAAAATGACAAGCAGAATTTGTGATAGATTTGACATGATTAATTTAGGGATATTTTTGATACATTTTTTGCAAACATCATATAAGTGATATGCTTGAAACCAATAATTTTGAAAACTTGCTAAGGTCAAAATTTGATTTGATATAAATAAATATATATATATATATAGATATATATATATATATATATATATATTCAAGATCTAGTTGTATTTACAAATCTGCTATAAAAAATTTATGGATATTTTATTTGTGATTTTATAATAGTTTAAAAAAATTATTTATTCAACTTAATCTATAAATAATGATAATTTTTTCAAATGTTGTGGTCAAAATATTGTTGGATAGTTTTGAATTGCATGCAACAATGTAGGAAGATGCAATTATTATTTAACAAGAAGACTTGAAAATTAGAAAAACTCTCAGAACAGTAAATGAATCAATTAATTAAAATATTAGTGACAAAATTGAAATATATCTAATTTCAAATTAATGATCAAGAGTATTGCACAAAAATCAAATGTGTACTACTCAGTTTTTAAGCATGATACTATTTGTTTGTTATGTGGACTTGATTTTATCTGACATTATATTTACATTAAATGGATGTTGATATTATATGATAGTTTGAATTAGATCATTTTGATGTTAAAATTCAGAAAATTTTGTGAAAAATAATCAAACATATATGAATTGCAAGTTGCTTAATACTTTGTATGATTGAAGCAAGTCTTCAGATCATAAAATGAATGATTTAATGATTAATAAAATTGAAAGGATGCAAATAAAATATATTTGATTCTTGTGTGTACTTAAAATGATGAATTATAAATAATTTTGTTTAGTTTTTCTTGTATCTGTTATGTATGACATGCTTAGTTTAACTCAAAATAGATTTTTGTATGATTAGTTCAAAGGGTTTTTGAAATTTTATTTTAAAATTAAATGACTTCATGCAACAAGAAGAAAACTTGAAGGATGAAAAGTAATGGTTTAGTAATGCAAGTATGTCAAAACATATTTGCAAGATTTAACATTAAGATTTGCAAGCTGATGAATACAACTTTGGCTCTTCACTTCAAACTTTGATATAATATTTGTATGACACCTGACATGAAGAAAGATTTGATGTTTAAAATTTTCTACAAAAAGACAATATGAATTTCATGTTTATGATATTGCTCTTAACTAACATATCTATCAAATCCAAAAAATATACACTGTAAAATTATGATGTTATATGCAGTGAGTTGAAATTGTGCCAAAATATTATGATTGTGCACTATGACATTCAAAATATTTTACATCTAGCTATGAATTAGAAATTGTGCCAAAATATTATGATTGTGCACTATGACATTCAAAATATTTTACATCTAGCTATGAATTAGAGATTGATAATGAAGTAAAACATATCAACATGAGCATATTCTGCGACAAGTTTTTTTTCATTGAAATGAGTGAACTTGTCAAAATTGATTGTAAATTAATTTTTGTTTATGCTGTTTTAAAAGTAAAATCTTTAAAAAAAATTTGAAGATATTGTGCTATATTGCAAGTTTTGCATACGGATAAAAATAATATTAAATTAGCATTTACAATATATATTTATATTAATTGCTAAAATCAATATTTGTGGGAAGTGGCTAGTTATCACTCACATTGCGTAACTTCCTACCAACGCTCTAAAGCAGCCAAGAAATACGTTAAGGCCTGTGGACGGGCAGACAAGGCAGGCAGCGAGCAACAGTCGGAAGGTCGGGACCTCGCATCGTCTCTCTCTCTCTCTTTCCCTTATTAGCTGCCGCCAGAACATCCAAGCATCCGCGCAGCTAAGCCTCGCCACCACTATCTTCTCAGTCAGCCATGCAAGATTAGGGGCACCACTAAACTGAGCTGATCCACGCAACACCCAACTGATATGCAAGTGAAGGATAATTAATCGTTCTCTATTAAAAAAAACTTAATTATAATAAATTATTGTCAAAACATAAATTAATAAAATCATATATAATTATTATCATAATTTTGACTATGGCTTGCTCAAAATAAATCCCAATTACAAAACATCTGATTTTAGTAGTTCTTTATAAAAATTTTCAAAGAATAATTATGTATGTTATGGAGATTGTAATCCTTAGATATACATACATTTGGATTTCGGTTAATATTAGCTTGATTTATCATGTTTAGTGAGTCTAAATAAACTGAAATTATTTCAAAAGAATGTGATCTTGACACACAATTAGAATTTAGTACTATATGGACATACCTTCAACAAAGTGAATCATGCATCTCGTATTTCTCTCAGTTTTGTGTGTGGCACTCCGTATGTATGTTAGTTCAATGAATGTTTGCATTAAGTATATGAGATGACATTACCTATTACCAAGTGTTCGATGTACATGATGTGTATTCTATTTTAATTTAGTAAGAAAATGAACTAAAGTGAGACATTCAAGACTTTTATGATATAGATAATTTTTTTTTATCTATGTATCTATGTTTCTTGTGTATTCTTTGGTATGATGAATATTTGCTTGTTCATGTTCGGTAAGATGTGAAAGTAGTTTATTCTATGTACTAAAAAAATATTGAATAATTAAATTTCGTATTTTACATGCAAAATTAGTTCATTAATTAATATTTTTGGTTATCAAAAGAAAAACTGTATTAAAAAAATTAAATCCTGAAAATATTTTAAATATTTTAAAGTATACTTAGATTTTTAAAAAACCCGACGTGTTTAGATTATGAATTTAATTAGCATTATTTTTTTAACCATGAGATGTTATAAAAGATTCAACATGTAGTTGACAACGTAGAAGTCAGAACTTCTCTCATATGAGCACCAACATCTTCATACTTTCTATAGAAAAAATTAGCGTTGTGAGTGAATCAATTGCAGGCAAACATAAGTACATGGCTCTGAATGAGCCACGACATTCGAAATCGGATGAACGTGAATGCATCGTGAGCGTGATTATCGTGTGACCAGATGGACATAGGAGAAATTCCGCCGCAATATGTACAGAGGGCGAGTGAATCTTTTGCGATACGCGAAGAATAGGTCTGTCTCAATGTTATGCAGGATCGTGTGGAATATCCGCACAAGATTAGTTAATGGATCTGAGTCCGAAAAACGTAATTACTGTAGCGAACGAACCCGCCGGGAAAAAGTTTGGTGCAAGATCCAGAAAATCTACCACGAGTTGTGATATGTCTTCATCTCGGTCCCTCGATTACGGTCTTTCCTTTGTAACGGACATCACGCCCGTGCTTTGGTGCACGTAATACCTCGAATGACTCTTTTCGTAGTCCTAGGCTTCTGTCGTCTGTGTACGTGGTCATAAGGAAATTTCGCTGCACAGTAATACCCTTGCTCCTTGGAGCCAGATTGTACTTAAGGCCCGTGTGATAATCCTCCAGAAGGAAAGACGATCCCGATTTGCACGTGTTAAGAACCTGTCCTCGGACGCCCAGATTTTGTCCTACCTTTGTAACGCCTGAAGGTCCTGGTGTCGTATAGGGTCTCTGTGCACGTATACATAGCACGTACACGCTCAATCCAAAGTACAGTACATCCACTCGCGTACGGTGCATGATCATATAACCTCCCACATTGGCCCTCGTGTATTTCCGAGTCCCAACATCATGCATGCATAAAAGGTAAACCAAATGATTAACTCAACTACGGTGGTCAGAACCTTTGGATCTTTGGATCTCTTACATGGCCCTTCCCCGCGCCCCCGCCCCCCCCCACCCCCCCGCCCGCCCCCTGTTTGACATCGGATCCACAGAACCCGGTTGAAGCATCTCCATCACGAACATTCACCGTGCAGTAGAATGTAGATCTGGGGACAACCTCGTAAATGGATGTGTTCGGAACAGTTTGTCACTCGATCCCGTAGACTTCGTGAACCACAATCATTGCGGTCACCGGACGTTCGAAAGCGAAGATGGCGACAGCGCGATGAACTTGACACGATGCTCGTGGGCTTTGGCCTGTGGTCGAGTTAACTAACGAGGTGAGTAAGAGCTAAGTTAAGAGTTGCGACATGCTGACCTACAGCGGGAACCATGCCCCGTATCCGCATACGTAGCGAGACTATGAACGAGTAATCGAGTGATTAGATTGTCGAGATTTTGTTCGTGATTCTGGTCACCGTCGTGGTGCAAACTCTGAGATCTGGTTTTGGCTGTAACGTAACGGCTGAAGACTGCAGTGACCGGGATCGTAACGGTATGGCCTCCGCGTGCGACGGTTGCAGTTGAAGACAGTCGAGCAGGCACGACCTTGTAGGACAGTCAGAGGAAGGAGTCCGAGCTTGTGAGTTCGAGTCCGAAGGTCTGAGACGATAAGAAGGATGGAATGAACATATTGCTTTAAAGGCCGGGGACATTTAGACAATCTCTGCTAACACGATCTGCATTCGCTGACAGCCAGCGAATTGGGCTAGATGTGGCCAGTTTGGAGCTGCTGTCAACGCTAAACAATTCCGGCCGAAAGTGGGCGAGAGGAAGAGGAGATAATGGGAATTATGCTACATGTCGGCTGAAAGGTGTCACCTAATTTTAGCCCCTTCTCGCAGCATCTTTAATGAGGAAGGAATTACCTGGGAAGGAATCTAAATATATGTTCTCTTTCAGATTCGAAAAGCCAAGTAAGGATATCGCACATTCTAAATACTATCTCGAATGTCGATAATAGATGACGATTTCGATTTGATAGTTGGAGTTGACTGCAATGAAGCACAGGTCTACGAATGATCCGGGATGTCATACTTCGAAGTTGTGGAAGAAAATAGCAAAAGACGAATCGGGAAAGTGTTGGCCTCACCTGAAAGGACCGAAAACACAAGACTAAGATCATTGCATCCTTTCAGCGCTCCATGGGGCTTCCCATCCGGTTGGCGTGTTACTTGGCCCCCCGTTCTCCGTTTCAGAATGCAAATCGAGCGACGTAGTATTCTATTCGGTAAAGAGAAACGTAATCAAAAGATAGTGGTTTTGAAATGATCAGAACAGAGTGGGAAGTGAAAGGATTTCACACGCAGATTTCCATATGTTTGCCTTCAACTTTGCGGCGAAGATGTAAGGAAGCTTCAAAACGGCATATTCCTTCACATATCTGTCGAGCTAAGGAGGGAAAACGACTTTGAGGAGAAATGGGAGAGCAAATCGGAGTTTGCGGAATTTGGTGTGGTTTAGGCTCCAGGAGACTATCACAAACGGTGGCGTAAGCTAGGTGCATGAGACCGCTCTGGTTTCAACATCGTCTCTCTTGATGGGATCGTCCATGTTCCCATTTCCATGCCCCTTCCCTGGCGAAGACGACGAGAACCGATCTGTGAGCAAAGATGTTGGCATTCAAATCCTCGTGCGGACCGTACCGTGAAAGAAGCCCGAGAGGAGGAAGAAACCACTTTCAAAATACATGCGCGCTAAAATAGCAAGAGGCGTTGGAAGCTCATGTGCCAAGGCTTCATGGGCTAGCCATTTGCGGGCCATAATTAGATGCGTAGCCACCAACACAGCAACCCCATGGCATCCAGGCTAAAGCATGACAGAGCCTATGCAATTTGCAGGAAATGAGCCAGGGCCGACGGGAGGAATCACGTGAAATGTAGGTCGTTCCGATAAGGGCACCATCAAACTCAACTCATTTTTCCAAAGATATATTATTCCTGCTTTGATTTGAAGCCCCCGGACTTCTTTTGCAGGCTAGAGAACTGACCCCCTCCGCGGGAAAACATTTAATACCCTCAAATTGCTTTCTTTCTCTTTTGGATCATATTGTGTTGACATGATGTGATTCTCAGTCCGACAGAGCTCTTAGTCAGCTCTCGAGATCACTGGCACTTGCAAATCTGCAGAACAAGGCAGCGGGAAGATGTGGATTGGCTTTTACTTGTCCACCATGTGACTACGGCTATATGACTCCAGTTTGACCAGATTTGAAGAGACGAAGATTCTCTTGTCTCGACCATTTTAGACAGGGATGAATAGCAAGAGCCGATGGAAACCGGCGGGAAAGAAGATGGAGACGGAACTTGCTCAACGGTACTCGCCAATGGCTCGAATCTTGCAAATAAAGATGGCTGCTGGTGGCAAGCCTTTGAGAAGATTCGCAAGAGTTTAGCAAACAATACGAGCTCACGAAATAAAAGAATAGTTGTACAGCCGTCAATTCCTATCTTGACACACGTGACGAGCGCGATGTCTATTACTGCGGGCGTGTGCTCGCGTGCTCACCATGGCAACCTGGAAACAAACAACTCACGACATGCCATCCACACCTTGTTGGCAGCCCATACCTCGGTCCCCACTTTCATGCTTTCAAACTTCGGGTATGGTATAAAAAGCCGTCACAATCGTCGGTCGTCCGTCGTCGTGAAAACGTACATATTCGGACCTTGCGTGTCATCGTGGAACAACTTTTCGCTTTCAAACTAGCAAACGAAATCAGACGCACGACGAAAGATAAGAATGGTGACAAGTTCGAACCAAAGTGATGCGAGAATTCTTCGGAAATACTTCAGCATGAGCGCCATAGATCCAACCTCTTGAATTAGATTTGCAGCAAATGGGCGAGAGTCAAGGATTATAGACGTTGCTTGAAGTACTCGTCAAACGGATGTTCTCGAATAGTAAGAATTTTGAAATCTAATGATAAGAGTCGGCGAAGAGGATGATATGTGCCCCATGATAAAGAGGACCCACGGACTAAAGAAAGTGGGTGCCGGGCATGTTTTGGACGAGGATTCTCCTTGGAGGCGAACATGGAAAAGGGCAGGAGATCATGGGACGCACTTGAGAGGCTGCTGCATAAAAGAAGACAATTTGAAGGGTGTTCGTCTCGTGACCGTGTCGCTGGAATCCGGAGCCCATTGTATGTCGTCACTCATCCTAAGAATTTCAAATTTTTGTCTGGCAAGCACGCATCCGAATTTGGGGGCAAATTAAAAGCGTGGACGTGATTAAAGAATCAAGAACCAAGAAACCAAATACAGCTGGAAGATCGACAAGCGCACTTCAACTATGCGAAAGAAGAACGACCCCACGAGCATGATAACTTTACAAAACTGCTATCCTCGATGAAAGGGAACCGGACACAAGAAGTTACAGAACGCAAACATTTGAGCCTTACGGTTTTCAAGTTTAATCTACGCCATCAAGAGCGAACATGTCTCAGCGTTTCTCGACTTTAGTATCTTTGTGCCATATTACCTAGTAACCCTTCTTCCTTAGTATCCTCTTTACCCCTACAAGAATGTCTTCATTGATGGGCGAATGAAGTCAGAATATCAAGAAAGCAAGATCATATAACATACTGTACTAGGATTACTAAAGAGTCATGGAAGTGGTGGGATTTTCCACTTCTGAACTTCTGAAGTGGACGGGAGAATGCGGAGATTGAGAGATACGGCACCAGAATCAAAGAGGGCACTGAATCTCGGTTCAGGAACGTAAGATGCATCATTGACTCGAGTTGAAATAAGTTCTGGGGAAAAGTAGATGACGAGATCAAAGGGAGTAAAATGAAAGAATGTGATGACGAGAGGCATGACCTAATCGAGTGACGGGCATGGGACACGCTGACGTCGGTAGAACTGGGACTGGGGGAGCACGAACAGGCTTCAAATGGACTGCAGTGTGTTCTTTAATGCAGCCACACATTGGCAAACAAGACGGGGGCAAGAAATTGATGACTAAACATGTTCCTATTATTAGGTTTTGATTAACCTTAACTCGGGGAACATCTAAAATGGCAGGCCGCTGCCACTGGCTACCCCCGCGCGGTCAGAATCGAACAGACAACTTCCGATCGCCTGTTGTCGAGCCTCAGAGGCTCAGAGGACACATCCAAAATTCCGCAGACGTATGAAACTTCCGCAAGTGCGATGGCAAGCCGCAGAAACGTGGCAGCTTGGATGCCACGTTTTGGCACTCGACCTCTAGATTCGATTCCCGTTGACACAAAAGGCATCAATTCGCTGTGGCAGCTTGGATGCCCATTTCCTGATCCAATTTCTGTCGACGTGAATGGAGTGTGAATCGATTGTGGAGGTCGAATGCTTTCAGGCAGCTCTTGACATACATGGTCCTCTAGGTTGAAAAGAACTTCTAGCCGTCCAAAAGCAAAAGACCGTTCATGGGATGCTAAAGCTCTTCAATAAGGGAACTACATGTTTCGATAAAGTTTGCGCTATAAAGTTGGAAGCCAAATCGCATGCGCTATAGGGTTTTCTACACTTTCGAGAAGCTAAACTCGAATCTAGTGAAGACACTGTGTAGGAGCTCAAGAGATGTGCGTTCATTGCACATAATCGAGTGAAAGAAAGTCAATGTGCGCATGAGCATGTGATATCGAGGAACTTTGCACTGTAGGTCGACTTCCATGTACAACTTTTTGGCTCCTTAATGGTTTATAAGGCATTGAATCATGAGTTTTCGGCCCCATATTCGAAATAAAGGAAGTTTGCATAAATTACTCATATCCAGGATAGTCTTCTAAAGTTTTGAAATGTACATCGACATTCATCAATGACGGACGGGTCATCGACCGAAACACGTGAACAAGATCTGGATAATGTTGCGTTTCGGTCGAACATTTCAAAATTTCTTCAACAGTGTCGTACTTTTTGGAGACGAGTCTGAGAAAGATTCCAACGAAATCGAAACGATTGGACTCCTGAAATCAGAGGTCCCGTCCATGCTAGCACTGTAGGTAGATCAGTTCAAGTGTCCGGATTTTGTGAACTTCCGATACTCGACTTTTGATGTTTGTGTTGTTTTATCGATACAGTCCCTTCCACTTACAAGTCAATGTGAGGAAATTCAAACCGGAGGAAATAATGATGCATTTGGCCAGTTGAATCCGAAGTATTAAACTCCAGTCGATGTTATGACTGCGAGCTACTGTAGAGCTAACTTGGTAGTGCAAGTGTCACTTTCCAGATCTTACACTGAACGTGGTTGACTGATATTTTAATTTATTCGTTGTTTCTGAGGAGATTTCAAATCGTCTGATCAAATGTTCCTCCTCACTACAGATATAGTTGTGATTCAAATATGGACAGAACTTTATGCACGATCGTCTCGAGAAATGACGGAGAACGTCATGTCGATGAGGAGAAAGGGAGGGAAACCAGGTTTGAACATCGGTGGAGCGGATCCAAATATAGAGAACGATGAACAGCGCTCCATTGTCTCGTACACGGGACAGCTTTTCATCGTTGAGCCTAAATGGGCTTTGATCAGACAGGCAGACATACTTTACAGCAACTCCAGTGGCCCTGCCCTCTAATCCGAGGAGCTCTGGCCTGCGGTCGTGTTCTTTTTTTTGGAACACGAGAAGGAAGAGACAGATCTGAAGAGCATTGGCCTTCCCCAAAAACCCTCCATAATTTGCTAGCCTGGGTGACGACCAAGGCTCTTCTTCTTGTTTCTTTTACCAGTCTCAAGTCGGATATGGAGGCGGAAGTTCTCAGGGTAGCTATTTTTTCTTTCAAATGGGCACTATATTAGACCTTTCCATGATGTTACCGGGGTATGATAAATCCCTACTTGTCGTGAAAGTCGCAAGAAGTAGTTCCCATGTCCTGGACACGAGTTGATAGGGTTCTTTAACGACTATGTTTTGGGTGAAGATTTCAGGCCTTTCGCATCACCTAAAACAATTATCGTGTCCAGTCTATGGAAAATTACGTACACACACTTGTACTGTAGAGGCTGCGGAGACAGAACATAGCACAAATTGCAGAGACAGGGATAATTCGTGTGATAATAAAACGACAATAGAAGTTTATGGAGAACAGCACAGTCTACAAAAGTATCTGTCATACATGAACCTACGGAAAGAAACCCTGTACTGTCCAGTATCGGCGTCTCGGGAGTCAGAGCATTGGAGCAAGTGAAACTTCCTTGGAGTAATATCATAAAACACACAATATACTAGACTTTGGTAGACGTAATCCTTGTGCATAGAAAGAAATTGCAAATATGTTATACTATACCAACGTCATGCACAATTCTCGACATCAACGCGGTACAGGAATACATCATCACCCCGCAATACCACTCCTCCATCTTTGGGGCTGGGAGGGTTCAGTGTAGGGCAGCATAGAAGTCCTCTTTGTAATTTACAGCGAGTAAGTTATTTTTTCATTTTCTATCCTAAGGCTAGAACAAAATTTCAAGCAGCAATTCTTCCTTCTCATGGGTGAACTTCAACAAAGAAGATATCTATACTTGTCGATATCCAACTCTAGATGGATAAAAAAATCATTTTTTAGTCATCTAGTTTTGAAAAATATTGAAGCTTTGGACTAAGACATATACAAGTTTGTATAATGGAAGCAAAATTCTACCATATGACATGTATACAACTAGATTTAAATATTTATTTTACTATTTAGAATATCATATATTCATATTATTATTAAAGAGAAAACTGGCGAATGCAATCTACAAAAGAACATTTGTATTGAATAATAAAACTGTTCTTTTTCTATAAATTTTACTTTTTTAATTCCAATAAATTTAGAAATAAAATAATCTTATTTTCATTTTGATTTGAAAAGATTGAAAAATTTCTTGTTTCATTTTTTTTAAGATATAAAATCTTTTTTTAAGAAAAAGTGGTGTCATATAATATTCCTTTTAGTTTAAATAAAGAAAATAAAAAATGAAGTTGATGGATTTGAAAAAACAAACAACTTGAACTATTTATTTTGAAGATCTCATTCGGTCTGGAAAGACCTTTGAGCAATTGCAAAGTTAATGAGCTTGCTTTAAGACGTCAAACAAGTAAGAATAAATGTGAAAAGAGTTCCAGAAAAGTTAATCATGAACTCAAAAGGCGGCAGATTAGTTGAGAGTTTGAGAGTTGATGAGGGTGACTTCTTGCTCCAAGTTCTATTGTAACCCAAGTATGAATATAAGACCAAAACTACAAGGTAAACTAACCGTGCTACATATATTTGTCCGCTACATGCACATGACTCATTTGCCATGAGTGGGCTATTTATCATCACGTGCGGTACTTCTCTCGCAAGATCATAACTTGAAAGATGTAAACTTGTCTATTTCCATCTTGGGTTGTAAAATCAAATTAAAGCTTTGCTCCATCCAAGCGACAATCATTCGTTTCACAAAGCATAGCACAGACAATGTAACAACAATCATCTGAAACATAATAGAGTCGAATTTGAAGCCATTCTTGCCTCCAAACTTGGTCAATTCCCCACAGGTCTTATCGTTTGCTAAGATTGTTGATGTGGATGTGGATCCACGCCAAACTTTTCCTGCTATTATTTGTGGCATTCTCGTGCTATTTTTCTCCCCCTTGGGTTTTCCGGCTTTTTTGGCCCTTTTCTCCTTTAGAGGGTATTTCTTGTCACGATCCCCAGCAGTCTTTCCGAAAGGATGGACTTATGTGAGTTGAGTATAAGGAGACATCCGCCAGAACAAAAGACTAGATGTCTGCCAATTTTACAGATTACGGCCAAATTGTCCTCATTTGGCGCACAAGGGCGAGGACGTGGATATAATTGTAGCCCGCCAATATGAGTTTGAGAGACATAGCTGGCTCTCCCATTTACAGTGGAAGCACGCCCGCCAAAAGCTGGGGCAGC